AAGAGAGAAATACTTAAGTTTTCACTAAGGAGGAGTTTTTCAGGGACAAATATTTGTCTTTTTTTTTTTTTTTTTTTTAAGTTTTTTGGGACAGGGTCTTACTATGTATTCCAGACTGGCCCCGAATTTGTGGCACTCTTCCTGCCTCTGCCTCCCGAGTTCTGGGATTGTCTATTATATATTTAGGGCAATCACTTAGATTTTTTTTTCAAAAATGTATTTTGTATTTCTTATTGACACATAGTAACTGTATATATTTATGAAGTACATGTATATTATGCAAATGATCTGATGGGGTAATTGGTATATTTATCACCTCAGACATACTTGTGTTAGAGACACTCAAAATCTTCTAAAATGTTTTAAAAATTTAAACTAATAAATAAAAAATTTATTTATTGAATAATGTGGTGTTTTAGTGGGCATGGTGACTTATACCTATAATCTGAGCACTTGGGAAGCAGAGGCCGGAGAACTGCCTTGAATTTGAGGCCAGCCTGGGCTACATAATGAGTTCAAGACCAGCCTGGACTACATAGGGAAACCCTGTCCCAACAAAACAAACAAACAACCCAAACAAAAAATAATGTAATATTTTGAGATATGCTTATATCATAGAATAGTAAATTAAATGAATTAACATATCAGTCACCTTATATACTTGTATTTTGCAACAAGAACATTTAAAACCTACTTTTAGCAATTCTGAAATATAAAATGGATTATTAATCATAGTCACCATTTTGTGCAGATTGCTAATGCTTGTCTCCCTTGCCTCACTGAAACCTTGTAGTGTTTGATCAGTATCTCTCTCCATCTCCTCAAACTTCTCCAGCCTCTACCTACCACTTTACTATCTAATTCACTGAGTTCAATATGTTTACATTCCACATATATTTGAGATCATGTGGTTTTTGCCTGTGAATTTTATTTTGGTTATACAACATTCAAAGAAGTGAGGTGCTCCCTTTAAAAATCATATTCATGGCTGGGTATGGTGATGCACACCTGTCATAAAAGCACTTGGGAAGCTGAGGCAGGAGCACCACTGTGATTTTGAGGCCAACCTCGGCTACGTGGTGAACTCAAGGTCAACTTGAACTATACAGTGAGACCTTATTTCAAAAAAAATCACGAATGTTTTATAGCAATATAATACCATGACCTCATTTATCCTCCAATGAGAGTGTATAGTATTCTAAACATTGCAGGTATAAGATGGAGACCAGGGAAACTGCTTTGAAATAAATGTAGGCCCAACTATGAGTGACACCTGCTACACCTGGAGCGCTGAGGGAAGCCTGGGGTCACTGAGAAGAATGGGTTGTATAGTTGCCCAATTATTGCTGTATATTTGACTGATATGATTAGCTGCTCATTGCAACATTAGACAGAAACTTTGGGAACCAAGAAGTGTTATGGCTTGTGTCTGTGTGCCCAAAGCGTCATGTGGTCAAAGGTGGGGCTCTTCAGAGGTGGCTGGATCTAGACTGTATGACGCTGGAATTAAGCGTTCATGATCACTAAATTAGTCTACTGGTTGGCATAGCTTTGGTGTGGATGATATGAAGGCTCACCTTAAGTGTAGGTAGCCAGGATAGAATATAAGGACAGAAAGAGCTATTGTGGTTGACTTGTGCTTCACTATTTTACTACTTCGCTGCTTTGCTGACCTTTGCATGCCCTGTTCTGACATGGACTGTTTCTCCTCTGTGATGACCCTCTGCCATGACACTCTGTTTTGGAGCTGGCTGACTATGCACTGAAACCTCTACAAAATGTGAGACAAAATAAACTTTTTTCCCTTAACTTTGGGTGCTAGGTATTTTGTCTTAGTAACAAGATAAGTAACTAAGACATAGGGAGACAATTTCGCTTATTTAGTGGTTAAGTGAATGGAATGAGAGGACGTGGGTTTGAATCTTGCTTTTACAACTACTATAAGAGCTAGTGAAAGGATTACTTGAATTAAACCTGAAATGTATTTGATACAGTGCTTAATTCATAGCAAATGCTCATTCATTCATTAAGTAAATTAATAATGGCCCACTAAAATGTGGCAGGCAATGACATAGGTAGTGCTGATATAGCAAGACCACGACCTAGAAACTGCTTGCTCACAGGGAACTTGTAATTTAGTGGCAGGGGCGAAAACATACACACAGAAAAGTGCCAGTGAGTGCTATGAAGAATAGCAAAATGGAGTCAGGTTACTGGTCCAAGGGATGGTATTTTACAGGGTAGCCTTGGAATAAATGCTTGATATAATTATTTTATTTCATTACGTTTAGTTACATTTCTAAACCAGTTTTTGCCAAGAAGAGAGAAAGAAAAGTAGAACAAATGAGAGGAGCGGGAGCAAAGGGCCAAGGGAATTAAACCCAAGAGGAGGAGGCATGAGGAACAGAGAGTGCACTGAACAGCGTGAGAAGCCAAACATCAGCAGCAAGGCGACAGGAAGTGAAGAGGAGAAGGAAACCAATCCATGTGACACACTGCGAGGGAAAGTATGAAGACAAGACAGAACGGAAACTCAGGAAAGAGCCTTCTGTTTGTGTGTGGTGCCAGAGACTGAACTCAGGGCCTTGTGCACACTAGGCAAGTGCTTGTGCACTGAGCTACATCTCCAGCAATATATTTTAATTGTTCAGTGGATTGAACAACGGGCATGTAATGGCAAAGCCCGAAACAAGGCCACGGCATGTCATGTACCCATGACCCAAGCCTTTCTGTGAACTTAGCACAAAACCTGTGCTAACAGCAACTATTCAATAAAAATCATTGTTGAATGAATAAAACCAGGGGTTACTTTTGAACTTCTCTGATGACTGGCCCATATTTCATGAAAGACTGATTCATTTGGTTTTGATTTCAAATTTCCTTCTATTGTTCTCCACTGTGGTGTCCAGATCTTTATGGAACAGCACATTCCTGGACAGGCTTTTGCAGCAGGAATCCAGCCAGCCTAGGCTGTTTTTTTTTTTTGTTCTCTTGCATTTACAAAATGTGACCACTTAGTGTCACTGCACCAAAAAATTGGAAGCTGGTCCGCCCCTCCTGACCGGATGTCTAGACCGAGTAACTAGAATTTACTTGTAAGGGTTAATTTACTGCAGTCAGTGTATAAAGGTTGCTTGCACTTTACAGCTCGTTACCTCCTATAATTATATATGAAGGACTCTAAAACTTTTAAAGAAACATCTCAATGATGGTAACTGTCTTGAGGTGATAAAGATCAGAAATTTGCCACAGGGTTTCCAGGGCATTTTTAGAGAATGTTTTTAGAAAGAGGTGTTTAGAAAGAAGTGTTTTAGAGAAAGGTACCCCACCTCACAAGACATACTTTTAGAACATTAAGCTTGACATGATACATATTTGTACGGAGCTCATTTGTTTAACAAATACTCACTGAGCACTTGCTATATGCAAGTTCCTAAGCTGAGCAGTGAACAGGGCACACCTTGTCCCTTGCCTGACCACCTAGTAGCACTTCCTGGAAGTGGAGGCAGACTCAGCTCTGTGGTCACTCGCACAGTATATGCCTCAGAAGAAGGTATTGCCTCAGGAACAGCAAAAAGCCACTTTCTTCTCACGAGTCTAACCTGAACACATGTTCTTCTTTCTTCCTCTGTAATAGCAGGAAACAAATTTCAGGCATTTTTCATCCATGGAACATTCAGAAATAATGAGGTTTGGGTGCAATGCCCACTGATACATAATTATATTATTTTGTTAATATATATCTGGTTTTTATCAAAGAAGCTAAATGCTGGGCTATGTGGCTTACTGACAAATGCCTGGTAACCTAGACTCCAATGATAATTGGTCTCTAAGCTCATATATATATATGTATATATATATATATATATATATATAAAATCTTACATACATACATATAATCTTACATATATATATACAATCTTACATGTATATAATCTTACATATATATATATATATATATATATATATATATGTATGTCTTTTTGAGACAGAGTTTCCCTATGCAGTTCAGGCTGGCCTTGAGCTCACTTTGTATCCCAGGCTGGTCTCAAACTCATAGTGATGCTCCTCTGTCAGCCTTCCAACTGCTGGGATTACAGGCATGTGCCACCATACCTGGTTTATATATCCTCCTTTAATTTCACCACAGTTTGCAGAGCTAAGGACCCTTAAAGTCCCTAATTCACACTTGAAGAAATCGAAGTTGAGACAACCCTGAGGCCTCACATCTAGTAAGAGACACCTGAAATTTGACCCCAAATAGTTAAATACCTGACTAATAGCTGCATTTTGTAGCTTCTTTTTGAGGGAGTTTTCTAAGATGTGTTGCTTAGTCTGTAGACAAGAAGCTTTCACTGTGGTGTTAATGAGTAACAGTTGTCAATGAGTAACAGTTTTTCACAGGCCAAATTCTTACTTTGCTAGTTGCTTTCATACTGGACACTGAATGCAAATCCTATCTGGCCAGTCTTCCTGGTATATTTTTCTTTTCCCAGGAGTCGTGAAGAGAGATAATGGATGAATCCTTGGAAGTCAATATTTATTGCTCCAAAATAAGTCAACAAACATGTGGAATCTGCCTGTCTACTCTACTGCCCTCGACCTCTTCAGGCCAGCCTGATCATCTCTCTCTTGGATAGGCTTTTCTTCCTTTCACATTTATGTACAGTTGACTGTCAAGTCACAACTGGCCTGACATATGAACAACTTAGGTTAGGGCCATAATTTTTGTTTTAACTTAAGACCAAAGTCTTTAGTTATGACCTGAATGCTGGCCACATGTGCTACCAGATGGTCTCAGATACAGATTTAACCCTTAAGGAGTTCTGGAAGGAGCATTACAACATCCTCTCTTGTATGGGTTGATTAAGAAATCCTGGGCCAATGTCTCTTTAAGGACACTGACATCTGCCTGTGTACAGGAGAGGGACTTAGAAGGCTGTGTAGAGGAGCCTTGTCGGTGTCACTCCCGGCCGGCAGGAAGGACACACAACAAAGTCTGGCAGTGGACAACCTTTTCTTTTATTTTCCTTCTCCGTACAGCCTGCCCCGGGAATCCTCCCGGCCGAAGCCTCTGTTGGTCCGCTCCCCGCGGCTCCTTGCGTGCTTCTTCTTTACAGTCTGTCCCGAAGCCTCTACAGGTCCGCTCTCCGCGGCTCCTTGCGTGCTTCTTCTGCTTCTTTTGCTTCTTCTTTCGTGGCGGGAGAGGCACTCACTTTTATAGGGTTACAGTGGCCAATCAGTTCAAAGCGCGCGATGCGGGCTGATTGGCTAACATCAGTTGTTGCTAGGCAGACTATCTTACAGGGCGGGTTGTGAAGCAGGAGATCTTACAGGGCGGGTTGTTTACCAAGCAGGAAGCAGGAGATCTTACAGGGCGGGTTGTTTACCAAGCAGGAAGCAGGAGATCTTACAGGGCGGGTTGTTTACCAAGCAGGAGATAAGCGCCATCTTAGCACACTCGATGGGAGGGGTAATCTAGCTCAGGCTTTGCTCTTTCCTACAGGCCTCACGTCCGCCAAGTAAGGCGACCGGGCTCGGCCGCGGCTCCCAATAGAGCCTGAGCCTCCAACTGACATCTTGACTACAACCAGCCCTGCAGAACAAATTGAGTTCATAAGTCAAGGGTCCACTGTCTTTGCTATATCCATGCCCATGAATAAAATCTACTGAGAGTAGGCTGGTGATGTAAGTTGGTGATACAGTGCTTACATAGCATGCTCAAAGTCTTATATTTGATCATTAGCCCTGCAAAAATGAGTGAATGAATCTATAAATAGTTATTTAGGATATTTAGTTTTAAGTGCTTAGCAAAAACCTTCAGATATTAATGGAACTATGAGAAGTCACAGAAAGGAAACAGCAGAAGCTGTTTCAGAAGAAGTGGTATTGGACTTTAATCCATCTTAAATTGTGGGGAAGCTATTGCTGCTCCTGCTGAGGTAGCAGGTATTGAAATAATGGTGAGAGGAGTTGCCTAAGCAGGCCTGGCTTTCCACAGCAGGACACCTGGATCTTGGATAGGTGGCATCATGACTGCAGAGAAGCGGGAAAGGTCTGGATTATGAATACTGAGGAAAGGAATGCCCCAGCAGGAGACAGGTGCCAAATAGGAAGCTGGCCTGTGTTCCCTAGCCTGCTCTCCTCAACCTTACCTTGTTTTATTCTTGAGAGTTCTGAACTGTAGTCCGTTTGTTTTCTAAGCTAATTTATTTCCTGCAGAGAGAAACAGCTTTTTATTCTATCTTTAGGAGGAAATAAAATCTGTCCTCATTTTTTTATTATTGTTTCAGATTCAATTTTCAAAAGGTTTATTTTCCTGTCTTGAGAGTAGACTCTGCAGTTAGGTTGTGCTAATACCAGGTAGTTATGCCTCACTAATTAGAGAGGAACTCACTAAGGAAAAACTAAGTTAAAAGAAATTATTTAAACTAGGTGTGGTGGTCCAGGCCTGTAATTCCAGCACTTGGGAGGCTGAGGCAGGAGGATTGTCATAAGTTTGAGGCCAGCTTGGACTACATACTAAGTTCAAGGCCAGCTTTCACTACATAGTGAGACCCTATCTCAAAAAACAAACGAAACTTTAATAAAAGCACAAGTGTATTAATAGCCCAATATCTATGTATAGAGATTTGGCTTGATCCAAAGATACATTTTTAGACAATCAGAGAAATGGATAAAGTTTATATCCTTTGATGTAAGTCTGTAAATTTTTTTCTCACACTGGAGGTGAGAAAAAGGTGGGCATCAGGGAATTTCAGGTAACATTTTATTAGCAATGTAGGTTTCCATGAAAGCGACTAATATCACATTTTAAGATGTAGCACTTACTGTCAATACTATATAAAAGCTGAGTTTACAGAAAGTAATTTTTAAGTTCCTAATTATTATCAGTCACAGATTAAACCCCTACCTTCTGCTGAAACCTGTGTTTAGAGTGTTGCTCACTAACATCTGGAACTCTTTCCAGTGGCTTCAGAACTGGTTTCAAAACCCCTCCAGCTTTCTCTCAGTGGCCTGTAGCATGTGAGGAACCACAGGCAATTGCAAATTAAAAACAAAGTCATCTGGACTCAAGGACCTTAACAAGGTGGATTTGGGAAGTGATTTTCTAGTGCTATATATTGTTGAAGCACAAGGAAGTGGGCATTTCTCAGAGGAGGTCTGGATTCTCCTGCACTATGAAAGAATGGAAAGGGATGAGGCTTTGATACTTTTACTGTCATGCAAATGGAGTTTTCTGGTGGAATAGCTAATTGGATATAGCAATGTTTCATCTTCCAAGCCAGCATGTGCTGAGGTTCCCTTGGGATCAAATGTACAGAACAAAACTTACAAAAAGAAACTAATAAACTAACCAGAACAAGTGCAAACTATTGAAGTGTTTGGGGGAGTAGGTAAATGTGTTAACTTGAATTAGTAGTAGTCATTTCTGAGGAAGAGTGTGATTGGCTTGAGGAATCTTTATGAAGGAAATAAATTTTGAGTCACCCCAAAGACACATTCTAACCCCTGGAACCTGTGAATGGAGCCTGACAAAAAGAATGTGGCAAATGTGATTAAGTTATGGACTTTGAGAGAGATTATTCTGGTACTATAGTTGGGTCGAATCCAAGTACATGGGTCAAGGGAAACTTTTCAGGCATACATCAGAGTCAGAGAGAGATGTGTCTATAGAAAGTCTCAGTGACCTGGATTAGTAGAAGCCAAAAAACAACTGTCCTCATGCTGGGTTCATACTCTGTTCCTGATTAATGTTCTTTGGTTGCTGCTTTGATCATGACAAACTGGTTTAATCAGCGTACTGTAACCTTGTTGTTAAGCAGCTTTTCCCCACACTTGTAACTGTGCTCAAGCCAGTACCAGCCAGTGCAGTACAGTACTTGTCCCCTTCCTGCTGTTCACTCCTCCCTATCCCATGACTGCTACCTGGGGCACCCGCGTTCACGAACTTCAGCATGAAATCATACATTGCTTTGGGTCTCTTGTAGTTTTGTCAGCAAATATCTTAAGTTCTCACTTAATTTTTCTGGTGGTTAAAATCCATTTTCAAGCGACTGGCGTCTGTGAACTTGCTTCAGGCAGGGGTCATGAATTGTCTCGGAGGGGTCCTTAACTCTAATTTTCGTTCATTCCTAAAGTAAATCTTACATTGCGCTTTTCGTAAGTTCCCGTTTTTTCTTTTCTGGAGCCCCTGAGCTCGAAGTACAGCAAGCCCTCTTACTAAACATTCCTGTAGTCACTCCTTGCCCTTTTGTGACAGGAGTTGTTAAATTGCCCAGGCTGGGCTCGAACTTGCGCTCCTAGCAGCCTGGGCGTCGCAGTGCTAGGATTACAAGCTTCCCGCAGTTTTTAACACGGTCCGAGGGTGACTGATGGCCCACTTCCTCCACTACTAGGCTACCCCCAGCGCGTGACAAGGGCGTGGCACACAGAACCCGACGGGCGTACCTGTTAGCCGGTCTCGGGACGCCAGGGCACCTCGCAGGGCACAGAGGGAGGGACCTCCGTCGGCGGCGGCGGCCGCTCCACCTCACCCTCTCGCCCCTCCCGCCCGCCGGGCCCCGCCCCCGAGCCCCGCCCCTTCGCGCTCGCGCCACCTGCCGCTCGCCCCCGCCGTTCGCGCGGCGCCGCGCCTCGCTGGCTCCTCAGCTTCCAGCCAAAATGGCGGAAAGCGGCGAGGGTCTGGGCACCGTCCCGGAGCACGAGCGGATTCTGCAGGAGATTGAAAGCACTGACACCGCCTGCGTGGGACCCACTCTCCGGTAAAGTGTCCTATTTCTGGGAGTCTGGGCCACCGCGCTAACTGCTCCTCTGGAAACAGGCAGGGCGGCCACCGCCGGCCGCGCGCTCACCGGCCGGACAGGTGGTGCGCGCGCGCAGCGGCTGTGGGACCGGCGCTGCGACCCGGGTGGGGCGGAGGAGGCGGCTGCACCTGTCACCCCGGCGCGGGCCGCCCCGGCCTCGCCAGCTGTCACCGCGCCCCGGTGGGTGTGGTTGTGGCGTCGCCCGCTTCGCTGCGGGGCCTCAGCCCGGCTGCAGTGGACTCTGCCTGAGCGCGTCTGCCCCCAGCGGAGCGGCAGGCGGCCTGGACGCGGGAGCCTGGGGGAAGCTCACTGCCGGCAGGTGTCGAGGGCTACCCGCGGCGCGCAGGTGGGGAACCTGGTGCCGACGCTGGCCTGAGCGGGAGACACCGGCACCGTCCCATCGCGCGCGCTGCCGGAGTGGGCGAGACGCCCGGGCGCGTGGGCTGGAGGGCGGAGCCGGCGCCCTGGGCCGCGCTGGTGTGCCTGTGGCCCGTGAGGCGGCTTTCTCTGGAGACTGAAGAACTTCTACTTATTGACAAACATTTCATTAATTTTGTATTATCTTTCCTGCTGGTTTTAAAAAGGATCGCCACTCACCCAGTCCCTGTCCCCCTTAACAGAATTTTGGCGAGTGTACCGAACCTTTACATTCTTAGGTATTCTCTTTAAGAATTTTGGGAACCTTCCATGCTTATTTGCTCCTGTGCCATTGACACAAAGCCTGTAGTTAGCCATATTATAACTATTTGGAACATAAAGTTCCTGCTTTGATATGATAGAGCATAATTAGTTACCTTCTTTAGTTTACAAACATAAATTTTTCTTGTACTAAAAGCTTAAACATTCGATAAAAATAGAATTATATTAAGAGGAAGCTATGTTTTTCTCATTGCAGCTTGAAACTGCAGTATATGGTATTGATTATTAGACTAGTAAATTTTTCAAGTTAGTATTGATTATGAAGGAGATATTGCATCTTGGGAAAATGTGATAGGCAGTGGCCATGAAAAAAAATGAAATAAACTGAATAAAAGTTTGAATATATTCACAGACTTTTGAATGCTCACGAATAGAATACTGTTTGGAATTGAAAAGTTTACCTGAGGCCATTGTATTTTAGCGCATATAAAATCTGCTTTTTGAGTTTTACAAGGTTCAGAGCTGAGAATTTGCCTTGAGTCTCAAAGGGAGGCTTTGAACTTGGACTTCTGAACAATGCTGGAACTGTTGAGACTTTGAGGAAGGAATTAGTGCATTTTTGGTTGTGGAAAGGATAGTTGCATCTTGTTAGGTGGAATTATAATTTTATAATTGTTACTGTCTATTGGAGATTAAGTATTTAAGGAGATATTCTTGGTTGTCATTGACAAGGGGTGGATTTTGACAGTTAAACTTGATTGTCAGTTTGACTGGATTAAGAGATACTGGGAGATTACTAAAATAGGTCTTGAGTGCATGTCAGTAGTTCAGTAAGGCACGATCTTTGGAACTATATCTGACCCCTACCCGCCTTTTCTCTGACTTTTCCAGGCTCTCTGCTTTCCTGATGCCATAAATTGAGTAGCTTTCCCTGCCATGATATTTCTGCCTTGAAGCAGCTAACCATAAACTAAAACCTCTAAAACTGTGAGCCAAAAAACTTAGTACTCCTTTAAATTGCACATGTGTAATTTTGTCCTAGCAACAGAAAGCTAATTAATGAAACTTCTGAATGAGAGAACTAGAAAAAGACGACCAGGTGAAGCCCAAAAGAGGGAAGAAAGAAAATGATAAAAGTTAGGGTGGAATGTCACAGGAAAGGAACTAGAAAAACAGAAAATCGTTCAAATGAAACCAAGAGAACTAGCTGGTTCTTTGTGGTTGGTAAAATGGCAGATATCTAGGGTGGGGAGAAAGGAAAAAAATAGAAGAGAGGTAACGTGATTACAAACTATAAATGTTTAAAAAGATAGTAAATATGAAAAACTTTATGCAAGTTTTGATAGTTTAAGAGAAATGTTCAAATTTGTTGAAAGGTAAAAAGAATTTAAGCTCACTTAGGAACAAAGTAACTGAGTACCCCTGTATCAATTTTAAAAAGTGAATTTTCTGTTAAAAACATCCCTAAAAGGAAACTTTAGGCCTATGTAGCTTTACTGATGAATTCTACCAAATTTGAGGAGAAAACAGTACTAATTTTGCAAAAGCTTTTTTAGTAAATTGAAGAGGAGGCCTCATTTTGAGGCCAACATTAACCAGATAACTAATCAGTACCCAATATTCTTCATAAACATTGATCTAAACACTTTAAAAAGAGTTTTACCAAAAAGGATATGTGTGTGTGTGTATTTATGTACAGTAATACACACACATGGAGCATACACATCATTATCAGGTAGGATTTCTTTCAATGAAGAATGTGGGCTTAGTATTTGAAAAATCAATGAACATTTTCACTATAATAAACTAAAAAAAAACAAAAACCCTGTGTGATTTCAATAGAGGCAGAGAAAGCAGGAACAAAATCTAACATTTAGTCTTGATTTTTAAAAAACCCTAGAAAGCTAGAATTGAAATTCCTCAGCTTGAAAAAGAGCACCTATGAAAATCTATAGCTAATGTTGTACTTAATGGTAATAAGTTGAATATTTTCCCTCTAAAATTAGCAATAACCTAAGGATATTTTTCTTTTTACCTCTTCTCTTTTATTCACCACTGTACTGGAGATCCTATCTAGCACAATGAGACCATTAAAAAACAGGACCTACTTCGGGAAACCATTTTTATTTGCAGACAATGTGACCATTTATATAAAAAATCCTATACAGAAAAGCTATTAGAACAGGTAAATGAGTTTTAGCAGAATTGTAGGATACTAGATCAATATGCAGATTCAAGTGAGAGAAGATTATTACCCTATATACAAGTGGTGATCAAAATATATGGTGAATGCTTAAAATAAAAGTTGTATTACAGTAAAATTGCCTTTAATCCTCTTCACAAGGCTTTTCTTGGCTTCACACACTTCATCATTCTTGCTACTTTCTGAAGCAGTTTGGAAGTCCTTTTGTGTTTTTATGAAGTGTGATAAAAATTGGTTAGTACTATTGTTACATGCCATCCAACAAGTGCAGTCTTGTAAAAAACTTTGCAGTATGTCCTCATTTACTTTATTCACTAGATCTGTCACTATATGACTTCTGGCTCTTTCCCCCAAATAAAAATAAGCATGACAAGTAAATGTTTTGAGTTGATTCAGAACATTGAGATAATCATGGGAGTGAAACTAAAGACATGAAAGAGAACTTCTAGAATCGCTTCATAAAGTGGCAAGATGATAGGATAAGCGTGTTTGAAGTGAGGGGGAGTAACTTGAGAGGGAGCACTGTGTATTTTATAGTAAAATTTAAAAAAAATTACTGATTTATCTTTCAGTCACGCCTCCTCGCTCTAGTCCATCTTTTTCCTTTTTGTGCTGCTGTTACATATTTTCCATCTATAATGTACTGTAAGTGTAGAAGTATTACAGCTTTTGGTCTGAAGCTAAAAATGGAAAGTAGAGTAGGTATATGTCTATAGTTTGTTGTACTAACCTTATTTATTATTATTATTATTATTTTTTATTTGTACCGGGGATCAAACTCACGACCACCTGCTTGCAAGGCAGGTGCTAATGCTGCTGAGCTAAATCTCCAGCCCCTATTTATTATTTTCCATTTTCTTCATTTGTAGTTGGGTATTTAGTTGACATCCTGTTTGCTTGCTTGCTTATTTTTACTTACTGTGTAGCCCAGGCTGGTCTTAGACTTGTTATATAGCCCAGAATTGCCTCAAACTTGTGATCCTCTTACCTCACACTCCTGAACACTGGGATTACCCCACACCCAGATGTCAGCTGATGATCTTATCAGTGTTCCCTTGGTTGGTAAATAATTTTTCCTTTGTTGTTTTAAAGATTTTGTCTTTCCCTCACTACCCATGTACCTAGATATTGTGCTTTTATTACTCAGAGTTCTTTGATCTTAGATATATAAGTTAATGTCTCTCATCAAGTCTAGGATAATTTTAATCATTATTCAAATAGTTTTTCTGCTTGTTTTTCTTCTCTACTTTGGTGTTCCCATCACATGAATATTGATTTAACGGTGTCCATTTTCTCCTGAGGCTCTGTTATTTCTTTTTTTTCCCTTTAGATTGGATATATCAAAAATTTTTTTAAAGTTCACTGATTTTTCTGCCAATTGACATTATTTTTGAGACCCTCAAATGGATTTTCATTTGTTACTTATATTGCATCTCCATAGCTTGCATTTGGTGGTGGTGGTGGTGGTGGTGGTGGTGTGTGTATGTGTGTGTGTGTGTGTGTGTACATATATATTCCCATCTCTTTATTAATACTCTACTTGATGACACACTGTCATCAGAATTTCATTTGCTTTTTAAAAACATGGTTCTTTTTGGTTCTGTGAATGTGGATATGATAGCTGCTTTATTATGTTTATGCATATATCATAAAAATAGTTTTAAAATATAAAGTTGTAAAATAACAGTTTTAAAATATAAAGTATTAGGTACATTCACATATATTATAAGTTTATGCATATATAATAAAAATAGTTTCACAATATAAAGTTGTAAAACAATAGTTTTAAAATATAAAGTTGTAAAATATAAAGTGTTAGGTACATTCACGTTGTTCTGCAGTCATCACATCTGTCTCCAGCACTTAATCTTCCCCAACTGAAACTCTACTCATTGAACATGAACATCT